TTCAGCCCTGTAGCTTTTGTAGGTCTTGAGATGAAAAACCGTGACAGACGCACACACGGGCACACACACACACACACAGACAACCCCTCGTCAATATGCGTTTTCTGCATTGCATAGTTGCAAAAAATGCATAAAGACCAGATGCCACAATTTCCGTAACTCAAACCTGAACTTAGGATGAGTGCATATTGTACGGCCGTGACGAGTGGTTGTATCTGGAGAGGTAGAAGCGGAGGCAGGGGAAGGGGGGCAGGTGTAAGATTCAAAGATTTTTTTTTAATTCGCCGTTAATTTTTGATGCTTTAGAGAGTCTCCCAGTTCGTTTATTCTGATGGGAGGTTTAATGAATGCGAGAAGTAGAGAAACAGGAAAGTCGTAGCTTCTATGAGAAACACAGCAACGGCATTTACCCAATAATTCGTTTTGTTTTTATGGGCATGGCCCAGTCAATGGGGAAAACGCTTATTTAATCTCAATTTTGCAGAAATACAACCAGAAGAGAGGAGTAACAAAACAGCTGTAATTGACGGGAGGAAGAAAAAATCCCTATCTTTTGAGGTATTCATTGCTCGTTTAATACGTATTTTTCAAATGCTTATTTCACGTCAAGGCTTAGGACTTTAAAAAGGATTGCTCTCTTTCTTCATATTTCTTCTTGACTGCTGATAAGGAGAAGTTAAAAAAAGCACTGGATGGTGATTAGAAGCAAAATTGAAACTGCCTGCTTGCTTGGGTAGCTCTGCCCGGAGTATACTTCCGTCATGGAGTTCATTTCTACATGAAGATTTTCTAGAAAGAAGTGCATCCAAACATAATCTGTGATGGTTGTGATCAGTCGGTATGCGGAATTCGTTACAAATGTGCTGTCTGCGATGACTATGATCTGTGTGAGAAATGTGAGAAAGACGGGGCTCATTCAAATCATCCTTTGATCCGATATGCCAATCCACGAACTCCGGTATGTTATCGCAGTTTGATTTACCAATTCCCGCCCGAAACATTCAGATTTCATCAAAATTCTTAGTGCAGTGCCACTGCCCTTACATACACATTCAGCTTGTCACAAAGGAAGAAAGAATCACTGGCGTAAATGCAGCGTATTTAAAAAATGCTTCTGTTGATAAGTAATTTTCTCGAGAAGCCATTTGTGGATAAATTCTGTTTTTGTATGATGTATTTGAATTTTTATTGAGAAAATACAAAGCAATAATATACAATAAAAGAGCCTCAGACAAGCAAGCGCGAGATAGTTCCCCTTTGGAAATCCCGAGCGTAGAATCAGCGAACTCAAAAACTTTGTGAGCTGATCAGTGATTTCTGCTGTCGACTTTTGAAGGTTTTTTTTTTCTGCACTTTAAAAGCATTTTGACCGTTTTATATATCTCTATACTTCCGAAGTCTCTGCGAAATGCTTTCGTTAATAAGTATTTTTTTCGAGAAGCCATTTGCGTAGAGGAATACGCAGATGATCACGGAAGGGGGGGGGGGGAGAGGAGGGTACAGATTTAAAATAAAAATTTATTCTTTCACGCATTTGAATCCCTTTGCTTGTCCTTTGTGCAAAATCTTCGTTAACAGACATGAACATACTAGTGAGAACGAGTGAAAGTGTGAGAATGGATGCGAATATATTATTTTCTTTTAGGTTTCCTTCATTTTTGCAAACCTCTCTGTGCTTCATGTTAGATATTATTGTTATACACACACACACATACACTTGTGCTATGCGGTAGTGTGTTTTTTTTTTCAGCGCTTGGATATTGGTCAGCAGAGGCGCCATTGGTATCGACCTCTGAATGGATATCGAAATGCGTTCGTGCATGTTGGTTTATTTGGACATACAGTCGCCCATACTGCTCATCATTCAGCTTACACTGCAGCGCAGCATGCTGCGCAACACGTAGTAACTACAGTTTAGCAAGCTACAACAGCAGCTCAGCAAGCTGCTGCGGCACATTTCGCTCAGATATTCATAGGACTGTAATTTTGTCAACAATGTGTAGAAGTTGTGTTCA